TTACTTTATTTTGGCCAAAAACTGAGAAGGTTTCCTCCTTACTGAGTCCCAATAGACTAAACAAACTGTCCAACTCTCTTTCCACCGAGGAGTCTTCAAATGTGTCTTTAAAGGGGTCTACATAAGTTGATTGAAGGTCCAGCACAAAGTTCACTGCTGTAGCACAAGTAGTGCCCATGCTGGAAAGTGTAGCGGATTAATGCAAATTTAATTAACCCTCTACTTATTTTTTTTTTACTTCAACAAATGTAACAAGAAGCAAACAAAGAAGAGAAATAATGATATGAAACAAATTTTTGGTTAATAATGAATATTTTTATATAACATAATTGAGGTACAAAATTGTATTGTATAATTTGTTTAAATTACTTCGAAGTCTTTCAAAGTCCTTTCTTGCTTGGTTAGAAATGTTAATGAAAATATGTGAAATATTAAGTGTGGAGAAATTGTATGTGCTAAAATTGGTAAGTTTGATAAGGTATATATGTATGTTTGTATGAAAATTAAACAGTTTATTTTTTGATGTTGAATTTTGTAATATTGTGCTCGATTTACTGTTCTGTGTAAAGTTGTCTCTCTTTGACTGAATTCGTTGTTGTTCAATGTTGAGTTTATGTAGATGAGTGAGTGTATTTCGCAAGCTGTGGCAATGTTAAATAAAATTAACTTTAAGCCAAGAAAATGAATGCCGTGTATTCGTGTGTCGAGCTGATAAATTCATAAGACTCACCCTCGAAGTCGAATGAAGTTTCATATTTATTGATGTTTCCGGTCACATGGGAGGTTCCAAATTAGTTGGCGTCAATTTGTTGTATCTACTAAGGATACCGATATGCGCGTACATAGCTAAGAACGTTTGAAAATATGATTTTTATGTTTATTAGCCAATCAGAAAGCGTTCTTAGTTACTGCATTCTGGAGCCGGTTTTAATCTACTTTGGATAGATTTGAGATCACTTCGTTTTGAGCCACTTTTAATGGGTTTTTAAAAAACAAACGTAGAAGTCCGATTCTACAAAAGAATGTATTCATAATTGGTGTGAACTGAACGCTCTACCTCAGTAGATTTATCTGGTATTCTTTCAAGAAATGGAGTGAATTCCCAAAGGGCACTGTATTCCTTGGGGTTTGCCAAGCAGAACCATTCTGGCAACTTTTTATGTTTAGGGGATATAAAAACCGCTACAAATCTACTCCCACTAGTACCGGTATAGGCAAAATAAAACCCTTTTTTCAAACCCAGCAGCCAATCTGTAATGGTCCCTCGTCAGTTTTTCAAATAACAAATCCATTTTGTCAGTTTGCATCTTTAACTTAAAGGAGGACAGGACTTAAATCAGGACAGGTAAAGGTCTTTTGGTGTCAGGCACCATTTCCACCTGTAATACTACCTCACTCAAAATGTTTTTCTCACTGCCCACAAATGTCGGCACCGTATATTTACGGTCACAATTTGACATAACGGAAATATTTTAATATTTAAGTATTTTTCTGGAAAAATAAGATCGTTCAGAGTCAAGCAAACAATTACAAACATAACGTTTTCTCCCACGATGTAATATCACTTTATAAATGGGAAGAGCAGATATTTGTTGAGACACACCAGTCTGAAAACAGAGGCTTTTTTTTTGTAGGATACATCAGAGAGTAGTGCCGTTTGGAGCCACATCCATAAGAAAATCCCTTAGTCTTTCCAGGACATTTATCAGACGAGTGGTTATCTGAAGTACATCCGGTGCACATATCCGCTTGAACAGCAAAAATTACAAAATGAATTCAGTAGAGTGGGGCTACTCCCCGAGGAAAAGTTTTCTGGCGCTCCTTTTGGTCTATAATAGCCTGAGATATTCCAAAGTTGACCTGAGAATGACTTGCTGCTGCCAGAGGAGGGGGGGTAGAGCATTCCTCCAATTTCCTTAAATCATTAATCAAATCTTTTGATTTATTTATAATGGCAGCAATGCCTGGATAACTGGCCAGTTACGCGCATTAGTTCTCATTTAAGGTAACTGGTAGCCAGCTAAACACAATATGGCTTGTTAGCAAATAACCCGGCGTTTCTTGCTCCCAAAAAATCTAAGTGGTAGCTATTTTTAGTTGTACTAAAGAACACCTGATTTAATTAAGGTTAACCTTGACGAGTATAATAATGGGCATCAAAATTTGGCTTAGCCGACTGTCGAAACATTTGATCCAATATATTTGGTATGTCTAAATACTCCTAACAACTTCAAAGCCACAGGAAAATTAGTTTCCATAGTGGGAAAGTGCTTTACTAAATGAATAGCCTGGGTTTTTAGGCAAATCTTTAACAAACGAAATTTCGTAAGCTTCGAGTGATAGACTTCGGCATAATTCCAAAAACTTGCTAAAAAGTTTCTGAAAGCAAACTGATCACCCGACGGTTCTCCATCAAATGTTGGAGCTTCCAAGTACGCTCTAAAATCAGGAGTAGTTTCAATTTCAACTATTTTTTTTCAAAGCTCCTTTCTTGTCTTTCAGCAGCACCCCCACTAAACCTCTCCACCAATTCGTTCAGTCTTTGGAAAGTGTTCATCCTAAATTGGAAGGCAAATTCTAATGTATTGTCTTGGGGCCCTACTCGTTCATCCGAGCTTTCCACACTTACAGGCTACTACTTCATCCTCCAGCTCGACAAGACGATCCAATCGTACCCTTATCAATTTCTGGTGTTCTTTAAATAAACTTAAGGGCATATGACTTTGTCCATGTAGGCCCCACAATTCTAAATTTATCTTTCTCCTCAACATATTCTAAAATTGGAGTCGACTATCCAACTCTGAAAATATAACAGTCATTTTGGCCAGCACAAAGTTCAAAGAAAATAAACAAAACAGTTTCGTCGAAACTAGAAAGGCTATATAAACCACAACCGTCGCAAAAAGTTGGAAAAACAATAACAGATTACGACTAAACGCCACAAAATGTTAGGAAAACACAGGTATAACAAAGTAAATGTCGTAAAATATTCAAAATTTTGAAGAAAAGAAATAAACTTTAAGGGCATTTAGTCGATTGGAAAAACCGAAATTAAATCTTTTCTTGTAGAAAAAATTTTGAATAAAACGTTGAGTAATTTCTGTTAACAATACTTCTTCAAGATTCGCTCTGAGTTAGAAGAAAAATGGTTAATTTGCCATAAGCACCAAAACCCCACGGTAATGAAAATGTTCCATGATGGTGTGGAATTGCCTGATTATTTCGAAAATGACATTAAAAGTTTGAGCTCGATTACCGTTTAGGACAGGGGTGCACAAACTTTTTGGCTCAGGGTCCACATTGACTTTTAAAAATTGACAGACGGGCCGGGCAAGCACTTGATGCATACATATCAGGCATAGACAAAAAAAAAAAAAAAAAAAACATTAGTGTTAAATTCACTTTTAGCGGGAACAGTGTTGTTGATCACCCTTTTTTTACCAGTGCATCGAAGTCTGGTGTTAGTTTTGTTGCGGCAGGTCTCAGAACAGATCTGAGGTGTTCATCACTCAACTGGAATCTGTGGGGTGCTTTGTTGGTGTTCATCACACTAAAAGTTTGTTCTCACACATAAGTAGAGCCAAACAACAAATAGCATTCTCTGTACCATCTTCTGGATGTTTGGAAATGTGTCTGCGCTTAATGAAGCATAAAACTTATCCAGTTTAAGAGAGTTGAACTTCTCTTTTAAAGAACATTAGCAATTCACGCAAGTACGAACTCTACTGAACTCTTACCAACTTTACCAATTCATATTTCTTAACATGCAACAGGAATTTATTCTTCTAAAACTTCAGTTTAATAATTACTTCATCTTTATGAGCTCCGGTACAAATATTTCCAAATCTAAGAGACATAACTCATTCAAACCTTCAGCTTACATGCATGTACATTAACACTAATAAATTCATGTTATGTTTTGAACCATTATGTTCTGACTTGTATTTTATACTATGTGCTATTTTACGTCAAATATAAATTGCATTGTAAGCGCTACATGTTTGGTAACCTCCAGCGTCTTTGCTTGTCCTTTTCTACGTCATTCACGTTGGAGGTCAGCAGGGAGATTGTTCCCGTAGTCACGGCGTTCAATGCTTCGGGATTTCATTCCCTTTAACGAATTCCTCATATTTCATTTTTAGACTGGCGTAATACGCCGCGTCTTTCACTGTTCTTTTTTTGCAGCCATGCACTTTCTCAAATTTCACCGGATTCCGGTGGTGATTCGTCAGCGTCACTCATGGTATTTTTTTCCCTTTTAAATTTTGATTTTTGTTATAATTTTTCTTTTTTAAACAAAACATAAAACGAACAAAAGCGGGTCAACAAAAGAAAAATAAAATAAAAACATGGCTTACCAAAAAGCAAGTCACACGTCAAAAACAAACAAAACAAAGGAAAATGGGAAAGCAAAAACATTAACAAGTCAAACGCTCAAGAAGAGCGCGGAGACGATAGAAATTAAAACAAAACTTTTACAAACGAAAAATAAAAAAGCAACTATTTACGTAAAAAGTGGGACGAGGCAAAAAGAAAAATGGGACAAAAATTTAACGCTTGCTTACTTGTAAACAAAAAATTTATAACTTAAAAATAAAAACTTGACTGACCAAAAAGTAAAAAAAAATAAAATTAGGAATAAAACAAAACGGGTAACAAACAAAAAGGGTTAAAAACGAAAAATACAAGAAAGAAAAACTTCAAAAATAAAAGCTAACACTTAGCGTGAATATGCCACTCGCTGGACGAAACAACTATTTGCCGAAGGTCTACAAAGCAACGACGTAAGTCCCGAATGAAGAGGAACACGAGAGAGGCTTATTCGTGTTTTGTTTATATAAGGCTGTGTAACACGTGGTAGGCTCCGAAGCTTGTTCGCGGAAAAATTATTCCTCGCGTGCCGGCGATTTGATTGGTCGGAATTGACCAATCAGCAAGCTAGTTTTGAGGAGATTAGCTAATGAATGCTTGCTGTATGATCTGTATGTGTGATTGTGATGATGATCGCTACAAGTTCATTGCTATCTCAAGCCATACCCGGGGACGCTGTGAAGTGCTGCTATAACACTACACTGACTACAGGGAAGAGTTCTATCTTTTTTTTCTCTTTCTTTCACATTGAGTTTCGGTAACAACGCTTCTGACTTGCCTAGCTGTCCGAGTTTCCCCCTCCCACAATCCGTCGTCATAAAAAATCCGACATATTGTTATAAACATTTAAGTTAAAAATTTTTTTTTATTTGTGTTAATTTTAAAATATTTGAAAAAAAAGTGAATATTTGTAATATAGTAATAATTTGATTGGTTATATTATCTGAGGAATTATTTTTGTGTTACACCGTTTTTTACAGATTATTTTTCTAAATCTGTGAAAAAAAAGAAACGTTGCGGAAATGCAGAAGAAGTCTCTTATTAATTAATTAAAATTTATACAAAGAAAATAGAATCAATGCTTAGCTTATGTATTTAAAGATAAACAATGAATACATCATCTCTTGGCAATTGGAACAGGAAAAGTAAAAGCGATACTAATTCTCTACCCAAAGAACGAGATCAGGTAATGGTTTTTCTTTATTTTCATTGTTTTGTTGAATAATCATTCAAAATTCAAATTCATTTTGGATTGCAGATGAATGAACTGGAAGAAAGTAAAATTAACAGGAAAAATAGTTAAGTGATTGTATAGTGTAATGAAAAAATAAAAATCGATAGGGAAAATTAAGTTAAAACAATATAAAAAATATGGAAATAATTTAATTAATAATTCCTTTTTTTTTAGTTTTAGTAAAAAAAAAAAAAAAAAAAAAAAAAAAAAAAACCTTTTTGTAATTGATCGACGAATAAATTTGCCTTGTAAATAAAATTTGTTTTCCTTCAATAGGCATAATTAAAATAACAATTTACTCGAAACATTTTTACATGTTTCAAAACAAAAGAAAATATCTCTAGAGATTTTTTTTCTAGAACGAACAAAAACTTTGAAAAAGAAAACTGAGATGAGGGGAAAATAAAAGCACAAATCACACGTATTTGTTTTTAAAATTTTATTTGATGTTATTTTTATATATTCTTTTTACTTCCTTAATGGAATTGACAAAACAAACTTTCGCTTTAATGATTTAAAATTTGTCACCGATTAATCGGAGAAACTACGAAACATGGTATATAAAAAAATAAAATGAAATAACTTCTCTGCCCAGTAAGTGAAATGAAAATTTTAAAAACATTATCTGATCTACGTCCTTGAGAGGTAAGGTAAATGAAATGAAAAATCTTGCGTCAGGAATAATAAAAACGAGAACTAGCGCCCGAATTGCGATATTTCATTTAAGTAGTAAACCATCCTCGTGTTAAAAAAAATCATGTTTGTATAATTCTACAATACATTGAGTTTTAAGTCTGGACAATGTTTTTTTTACACCAAAGTCATTTTGGTTAAAATTAGTTTCAACTCTATCAAATGACCATGCAAACAAAACAAAAAAATTAAAATTCCTAATTGATATTGCAAAGTTATTGATCCTGACATGGGCTATGAACCAATAATTGTTCAGTAATGCTTGTTAATTATGAAAAATTAGTAAAGTATTTTACTTTGTGATATATAGTATTTTAGAATGATTTCATTTAAATTATCAGATTGCTAAAAAAATATTTTCAGAAGTGCATTAGCATGTCAATTTTATTATTCAACTTTTGATATTTCAGGGAAAAGTCCATTAGTTTTGAAAAGAAAATGATCTGATTAAAAAATTAATGAAAAACTTAGTTTTATGCGTGTTCAGACAAAACAAAATTGTTGCAGACTGACGAATGTGTATTAGGTATCAGAATATTATTTTATCGATCGGGTCAATGATGTTGGTGTTCTTAAACATTCGTACACAACAAATTTAGAAACATGAATATCGAAGACAGATCATTCAAGAATCAAGATAAATCAAAGTGAAAACAACGTAGTTAAAGATAACAATAACATGGATTTATAAAGTATATGAATCAAAGGTTGTTGAATAAGTGTGAAGGGTTGAATAGAATTATGTAGAATATTTATGTCAAATTTCAATGTGTATGGAGCTGTTATTAAGATTTGTGTGTGAATGAAATTAAACAAAGTGAATGTTCACGTAGAAAATCAAAAATGTCTTTTGTGGCAGTTCAATTAATAGTGCGTATGCATGTGTTTGTTTGAATTATTGTCCAAAACTGGTATGAGTTGTTTTGATGCTTGATTGAATGTTTACTTGTTAATAGTGAGCTATTATCACTTTTTTAGTATTGTAAGGAAATTGTTCCTGGTAGAGCGAAATGCTGTATGTGTTGAGTCAGAGAAAGTTTGTGCGGCAAAAATGTAGCTGGTTACGATTTTGACTGGTGTGGATTAGTTTGGCATTTCTCCAGGATGAAATTCTGACTGCCTTGAATTGATTTGGATTGGACGCTTCTATTTATTTAATTCCGGATATAGGAATCGGCTCAAAACGGATAGGTGCGAAAAGACATTTTCACGTGAATTTGCTACAGTTTTAGAGGTTTGAGCCATTGAAAAGTCTAGTTCACTGGAACTAGGGTGTTGATTGGTTAATAGGTAATTTTGTGGTAGTGTATTATTCCGGAGGGGTGAAAAGGTATGTATGGACTATTCCATTAAAATAATAGCTGTGTAATTTCTTTTTCATTTTCTTTATTAAATTTGTTTCAGGGTGATGGAGCTCCAGGATTTGTATCAAATTCAGAAAAAATGGTTGAATCAAAACCATTCTCTATTAAATTGGAAGTAGACATTGTTCAAATTCTACTTTTCATTGGTGCTCTTGTAACAAGAACATGGCAAATTGGTTTACCACATGCTGTTGTGTAAGTTAATTTCTTATAAGATTATTGCCATTTTATGAATTTGCTAACAGCTGACCAGTTTCTTTGTTTGTCTACAAAAAAATATACTCCTCATGTCAACTGATTAATATTGTACTTGATGCTCCATATAAATGAAGTGACAAATTTCTCCTAAAATTGATATGATGAAGAGAAACATGGATTTGACAAAACAAGAAAATTATTAACTTTCAGAAAATTGTTTAAATATTATATTAGCTAATTGGATTCCCAAGATCTTTACTTTTATGATTCTATTCTTTATTTCCTCAAAGGAAACAAAAATTAAGTTTTTGTTGACAAAATTCAAATTAACATGAAAAAGTAATTTTTATAAATTTTTGTTGTTCTTTCTCCTTTTAAGTTTTAAGATGTCAAACTTATTAGAATTTAAATTTTAATTTCAGTTGTTTGTTTTTTAACAAAAGTAACCAATATAGAAATCAGTGCAATTGCTATAACTAATGAAGCTAAATTTCTTAAGTTATAAACCAAATGACAGATATTTTGTTTTACATTTCAGTAATTTCTCATATATTGTTTTTTTCATATGTTAATGTTTGTAGTTTGTATATTCACAAAACTTTAAATATAAATGGCTTTGATACACTTAATTTTGGCCACTTATATATTTGACTGTTTTTAAGTTTCAAAATTTTATTTTCAGATTTGATGAACTTCACTTTTCCAAATTTGTGTCTTTATATCTACAAAATACTTTTTTTTTTGATATACATCCTCCACTAGGGAAACTCTTACTCTCCTTAGCAGGTAACAAAAAGTTTACTTATCATTTAATTAAAGTTTCTTTTTTTGGACTTAAATTCTCAGCTTTATTGCTCTTTTTTACTTTTAAGTTGTAAAATATTTGTTAAATGATTAGCAAAACTTATTTTCCTTTTAACTATTTAAAAAAAATGACAACTATCCATTTTTGATAACAATAATGTTTATATAGAAAATTTATGTTAATGCATTAACATATTTCAGTTTTGGTTTGCCTAGAATTTAAGCAACACTGAAGTTATGATATTACTGTTCAACTGAAGTTTGAAAATGTTATGTTATTTAATAAATAAGAACCCATATGATAAATGGTAAATACTTAGCATTTATCAAAATATACAATCAAATATAAATTAGATGGGTACTTATCTATCTATATCTATAATTCTCAAAATGTGTCTGATTGGATGTTGTTTATGCATTTCCGTGGTTTTCATCTGATGTTGATGAAATTTTTTTGTTTGATAGATAATTCTTCAGTGTCAGTTTTGAGTCCAAATTGTTTGTGACAATGGCTCTCCACTACTTCCTGTCCATTATAACTCTCAGCAACATTTTACTATTTACTATCTGTTCTTGGATATATATCTTTGATAAAAACTTTAATAAAAGCAAATAGATTAAATTATTACAATTATATTATTTATTATTATACAGTTACCTTTTCAGGGCCAACCCCCCATTCAAATTTTTAACACCCCATTTGGGGATGTGCCTCAGTTGCACCCAAATGTTGTTACTAATATTGATTTTTCAGGTGGGCTGACTTTAAACTTGAACTGCTCCAATTGAACAGCAAAAATTCCCAGTAATAAAAGACCCGGTCAAAGACTGGTTATACTGCTACTTTATTAAATAACTTCAACTTACACAAATATTATTGAGAATGTAATATTCATTTTCAGGTCATTATACAGGGTTTGAGGGAAATGTTAGCTTTGACAAAATTGGAACTGGTGAGTAGTTATTTGTTTCTTCAAATACTCAGGTTCTCAAGATTATAGTTGTAATTCAAATTGATCAAAAAGTTGGTTAAAGTTTAAAAAAACATTTTTTGAAATGAAGATTGGAGCAAAAGTATTAAAACTCTTGTAATATATAACCAACATTGTTAACTCTTTTACTTTCAACATGTATTAGCTTTTGTACTAATAACTAATAATGCAATTTGCTGCTTTTTTATTTGAAATAAGGAATTATTAAGATCTGGAATGCAGATTAGTAGAAAAATTCAAATATCCATTTAATATTCATGTAAATGTTTACTCCATTATATATTCTTATTTTTTGTGTGTTATTTTCAAGATTATCCTGATTCTGTTCCTGTTGGTCAACTACGTCTTCTTCCTGCAATTTTTGGGAGCCTCCTTGTGCCACTTGTCTATCAAATTGCAGTTGAGTTGCACATGTCAAGATGGGCAGCTCTCCTTGCTGCTAGCTTTGTCCTCTTTGGTAAATATTTTTTTATCAAGCATTGATTTTTTTATGAAGTAATATCACAATTATACATAAATAAAAAACAAATTCTGTTTGTGAAAATTCCCATGGATACAAAGAGAAGCATATATAAGAAAAACTACTAAATTTACTATTATTAGTGTGCATTTATCATATTCTTTCTTTTACAATGTTCTTAGCTAAATTGGCTACAGAAGCTCAAGTATTAAATAGAGCAGGCCTGCATGAATCTAAAATATGAAGGGCCACATTGCTCGCAAAAAATTAGACACAAGCTGCAAAAGTGAATTAATGAGTGAAAAAATGTCACAATTGCACTAAGGAGACATGTCTTAATCAAAAATAAAGATTGAGCATAGTTTTTGGGTAATGATTAAGCAGATGTCAACCTGTTTTTTCTTTTTCTTTGTTTTTCTTTCATTTTTTTGAGTAAGAAGGGCTTAAATTTAGTTTTTGTTACTTTACCACACACTTTACACTTTTTTTAGCTTTAACCTGTGGTTATGTGATAATTTTAGATATTCCAACATTTAATATTTTTAAAAGGTTTATTATAACTCAACAGTAATAGAATGGCATTGGAAAAGATGACTGCTTTTTCAGTTTTGTGCCTCCCCCCCAAACGACTTAGATTGAAATATGAAGTTGTATTTCTCAGCCTCCTCCTCACACATATAGAGGAATGCTGTTTCTCTGCATACTCTACCCACACATTCGCATTACTGATGCAGAAGTTTCAAAATAGTTTCTTCACATTGCAACAATATTGCAAACTTAAATCTAATTCAACTCTTGTTTGGATGAAATCAATGAATAGGATTTTCATTGAGATAGAAACATATATAGAAAGAGGAAGGGCAATAACATTCTTTTTTATAGTGAAATATTGGTTGAATAAAGTAATTTTTCTTCAAAACTGGTCACTCACCAAATTTATTCTGAAGGCAAAAATTTTAGTATTTTGAAACATCCTCAGAGGCTGCCTGCGTGGGCTGTATTTTGTGTAGGCCTGTAAAAGAACATGATATATTATCATTCTGATGCACTCTCCTCCTCCCTACTTCTCACTGTTTTGGTTTGCTACATATTAATTTTTTTATTCTTTAAATGAAACCTTTTTATATATTTTTATTACTAGTTCTACTCCATTTTATTACTGTTGCTTTTGTAGTAATAATTTTTTATGTAAGTAATAGTAGGTAGCAGTCAACAATGCTCTCTGGGTATCAACAGCTTTAATTTTTTCAATTTTATTGCATCATTCTTTGTAGCAGAAATATTTCACTTACAGAGCTTCACCATCTGTGACTGATGTGCTGTTGAGCGATTTCAAAATGATCTTTCCAGCGCTGAAGTATGGCTTTTTTATCAGTTAGGAGAGTATCCATGTCATTGGCAGAGAATTGGAGAGACACCATGCTTTTGGGGGACCATACACTGCTTTTTAAACCATCATAAAAAGCTTTTGAGTCCTTTTTTGTCAGCAGCCATTTGGAGTTGAGCAGCCTTGGCTGACCACCAACTCTTTCATTTGTCTGAGGGTACGTTGCTTTTCACCCTTTGTGGTTGGCTCGTTTTGACTGGCAGTTTTTGTCATTTACCCAGATCTTATGATGCTTAAGCATTTCATCAATCAGTTTTTGGACTTCTGTATCATTTTCATCAAACCAATCTTAATGTTTATGCAGTGGAAGTCCAAGAACTTTGAGAGGCAGTATTCGCACAATGCCTTCCATGATGATTCAATGTCAACAATGATAATAACTGTCTGAAGAACAGTGTCCATTTTATCAGAAAGATCAGCTTTGCACTTTGATGGTTTTTCAGCAATGAGACATTAAGGTATTTTGGTATGGATGACTTTTGTAACCATTTATGTTTAGGATGAAACTTGACTTTGCTGTAAAATTGGGCGTGATCAGAGAGGTTAACAGGTGGCATGAAGTGTGATAAGCAAGTCTCGAACATCTCTCTGCTTGGTGATGACAACGTTAATAAGATGCCAATCTTTCAATCTGGGATGCATCCATGAGGACTTGGCTGGGTTGCTGAAACAGTTTGATACTGAGATCAAATTCTCTACACATAGAGTAATTGCAGACCATTAGAATTCATTCACCCAAGACCATGACAACCAATGACACCTTTCCATGTTTGATGGTCAGAACCAACATGTGCATTGAAGTCCCTCAAGAGAACTAATTTATCCCTATGGTCATAGGTAGATATCATATTCCGAAGTTGATTGTAGAAGTGATCCTTTACGTGCTCAGTACTATTTATGGTCAGAGCATAACAACTGACCAACAAGGCAGTAGTTTTGTGATCAAGGTTGATTTTGTGAGTCATTATTCTATCAGGAACAGCCTTAGGCAGAGAAGGTAATGATCCCGCAATCTTTGATTTGATAGCAAAACCTATATCTGATTGTTGTGACTCATTTTCATCATTCCCAGACCAGAATAAGGTGTACACTCCTTTTCTCTCTACCAGTTGTGATACACCAGGAAGATGAATTTCACTCAGTGCAGCTATATCAATGTTGTACTTCTTTAGCTCCATTGCGACCAGAGCTGTCTTTCTGGTGCTGAGTTGTTGTCCTGGAGACCTTGTGTATGAAGATAAAGTTGATGTTGTTTTGTAGAGTTTTTTGCAGTAGCCAGATGATGACCGGGTTCACGCTGCAGTGCCTTGGGACACCTGCTGGGCCAGACCCCTTCACTTAATGTTCCAGAGCCCTTATTGCCATTAGTCTGTGCTATATCAGTTATTTTCCTTGAGTTTTGTTTGCTTTTTAGGGCTTCAGCCAGCCATTGTTATTGTTGAATTGTGTGGAACTAATTAGATGTAATTATCAGAAAACTAAAACAATGACTTGCTTAAAGCGGTGAAGGCTTGTGTAGGACCATCCACACTTTTTGAATCTGTCGATAAAAAAGTAACGGTGCAAAAGACTTGCCATGGAAACTCCGAACAACAGTCCTCATGTGTTATTGCTCTCCAGATCACAGTCAATACCAGCCAGTACACACCTCTCAGCAGAAACATGCAACATAATGACTGGGTTAAGCTTTCATGAGTTTTCCTTCCCATCAAAAGTCTTTTTATCGTGAAACCAACACTAAAAAGACTCCTAACCAAAGCTCAGAGAGACTCCTTTCACCTTCATCAAGGGCAGCTAGCCCGCGCCAGATCTCAAACTGGTACTTTATATAGCTCTGCAGGATATATATATATATATTTTACATTGGATGTCAGAGTAAATAGATCGTTATCAATATGCCAATATATTGCTATACTTTTAAAATAATAACAACAATAAAGTATAAAATTATCAAATATATAAGAATATTTTCTTCTTCTTCTTCTTCTTCTTCTTCTTCTTATTATTATTATTATTATTATTATTATAATAATAACAGTTATATATACAGGGTGCGATGGGTAAATTGCTGCTATTTTATATTTTTAATTTTGCACATTGTTTGTTTTTTATTTTGTTGACTGAATAGTATAGTAGGACCAGTCGCACACTGTCTATGAGAAAAAGAGCACTATGATGCAATTCACTCCGCCAGAAATTTGGGAATGGCATGCTGTACTGCTTGGCATTTGCACCGGAAGCTCCAATATGTACATTTCAGAGTGTTTGGTTGTCAATCTGAGGCCAGTGCTGAGGATTTGGAAAGAGTTGTATGAGTCTAATGGTGATTACAAAGGTACAGCAACTTGGAAAACTCACTGATTTTTCTGATGAGAAAAGAACACCTGAATTTGTTGATGAGGGCTTCAGACTCAACACTGGGGGCAACATCAAATGCCTTGAGGAGGTAGTGCTGTCTTGGGTCAAGAATATGCTGCTGGAAGACCCTGTGTCTGGCAACAGGACTGCACCATGCAACACAAGCAGGAGAACCCAGTCATGACTGCCAGACAATTACTGCAACCACATCCCCCCCTTACATCTGGCCACCTAACTACCCAGACTGCAACCCCCTAGATTATTAGGTGTGCAGTTGAGTGAGAGACCAACAAAACTTCTTGTAACACCAAAGATTAACTGAAGGTAAGGATAATGGCAACATTCAGCAACTTAAACAAGGAGACCATCCGGAAGAGTTGCAGGAGATTCTGAAGTCATCTGGAGACCCTGGTTGAAGCCAATGGTGAATTTTATTAAATAAATTTACTCTCTAGTATTTCAAAATATTTTTTGTATAATTTTCATAAATATATCTGTCAAAATGAGATGTCAGTATTGTTTTCATTTTTATTATAATTTGGAGGACAATTCATCCATCACACCCTGTATATGTGTATTCTTTTATTTTTATATTTATGTGTCTTTATTTGCTTCACTAATTTGAATATAATCTCCATCTATATTTTACTCAATGGCTCTAGGCTTGAAAATTGGTTTCTTTTCTTTTCCTTATATTGTAGATAATGCTGTTCTTGTTCAGTCTCGCTTTATATTAATGGAGGGAATGTTACTTTTCTTCATGGCCCTGGCTATTTTAAGTTTTCTAAAATTTCGCTTTATTTATCATAGGTAAGTATTTTAAGTATAAAATAGTTATTAATATTCATTATTAACAACTGAATTTTATAAATATTAACTTGTTATTTTAATTCTAGATTTTTTAAAATTGTAAAGTAAAAATATGTAAGATCAAATTTATTAAAATTGTTGAATGAGTTGTAAAATCTTATAGAATGAGTTTAATGATGAATTAAAGAAATAATCCATTGTTAATTTTACAAGAAACTGAATTTTTAAAACAATCACAATATATCCTCCATATTCAAAAATTATACCCATTGTCACTCATTAACACTTGCTGAACATTTACTGAAATAAAACAGTGGATGTGAACACAGGTGGTGGGTAATCAGTGGTGTCAAGTGTTTTTTGTATCTGAAAATTTGCTCTTTCCTATGATGGAGAACAATTCAATGTACTCCTTTTATCTTTTATAGTTTCTAGGGAAATAGAAGTATTACTGTGTATATATTGTTATAGACAAGCGTATGGTTGCAAGAAAGAAATACAACAACAGCAGAAATAGATTTATGTGATTTATTTCAATAGGAACGTGTGGGTTTGGGACAGCTACCTTGTGGTATAGTTCATAAGCCGGCTGCCGATCTGGGTTGATCTCTCATAGTAGTTCTCACTGGTTGGTGTGGCGCTCCTCCTGTTGACTGACCGTGACAGGTCTCTTCCCTGGCCTCCTGTTGACTGCTGTTGTACTTCCCCGTGTGATCCCTTTTATGGCGTTTTTTATGGTTTAACAGGCTCGATAAAGACACAAGTATAATTAGGAAGGAAGCATTTTTGTTGGTCGAAAAATAGAAACGCTTTCGGAACTTGTGCATCGGGCCTATGCATAAACGATGATAATGGTCATTTTGTGACGGGCCTTGTCACTCGCTCTTGAGTATGTTAGTTTATTTGCCTGCAAATCAGCCGAGATATGTCTTATTTTATTTTATAACAAGGCTCCCCCAGATCTCGGTCTGATTTACAGTGAGCATTATTCGTGTATATTTGGGTGATTAATTCATGATAAAGTCTCTGAAGTGTGTGGGAAGTTGTCCTTGTGTTCTTATTGGCATTTGTTTTGGTATGGAGTTATTTGCTGAGTTATGTGTCCCAGAGGGATGTGGAGGAGAATGATCCTGGTGACTGTTACATGGTGGAGGCAGAGGGATTGTATTAGATAGATGTGTTGGATGTGGAGCCAGTCGTCGGATATGTGCATGGTGAATCCAGATTGAATCCATTATTGTTTTGCACCTGACACATCATATTGTTCGTTTTTATAATGGTGTAATTTCCTATCCAGGGCAGATGAGAGGATTGGGCAACAGTTGAGTGTGGCCGGTGAAGTAAAACCTTGTCGCCTACTTGTATTGGGTCCTTGTATGTGAGGTGATTTAAGTTAGTCTCAAGTTTGTGGTCAGCTTCATCATTGGCCAGGGTGACATGGTGGTGAACCTGCTTTAGCAGGGCATTAATTTGCATTCCATATGCTCCAGGATCGTCACTTGCAATTTCTTTTCTGTGTAGTGTAGGTAGGCTGCTGTTGTATTTTATTTTATAACAATATCATATTCTTTGAAGTTTAAATTTTGTTTCAGAACTACTGCATATGTTTTTTTTTTTTTTTTGAAGTGACTTCAGCCTACACTGGTGGTTTTGGTTGACCTTAACAGGTTTTTCCTTCACTTGTGCTTTTAGGTAAAAATTTACCTTTTTACTTACATGTTTAAAATTATTTTTTTTTTTTTTAATCCTTAGACAATAGAATCAAAAAGGATACACGCATGAAAATAGTAATTATAGTTTCCATTTAATTGCATTCATTTTGTTTAATATAAAGGAATTGAATTAACAACAGAAAGAAATTGCTAGACTTCATTCAAAATTACAGTTGACTATTAAGCAGTGGTGTAGCTAGGAGGAGGGGGCGGTCTGCCCCATGCGGTACTTTTGGTTTGCAGTAAGTTTTCAGAAAATAAGAAAAACAATAGCATAATTTAAATAATTTTTGCAAAAAAAGTAGCAGTAAGGAAAAAGATAGGGTTCAAATGACTCCAATTTGGCTCAAAGCCATCCAGCAATAAAAAAAAAATTATCTCCAACACAATTCAAGTCAGCTGGTGGGAATAAACCCCACTTACAAAACGTGAGCAAAAGGTGTGAAAAAAAATTGAACATTTTTAAAGGGTTTGATATGGGGTTGGATTAATTAAATTTAGTGAATCCACAGTTTTTTTTTTTTCCACACCTATGTGAGAAGTCCAGACTTTGGCGTCAGTTCTTTGATTTTGAATTCTCATGTCTATGAACTGTTAGTGAAAAAAATTAAACAAGTCAACTAATTGTTTTTTTTTTTTTTTTGTTTTTTTTTTCCATCTTATCATAGGCGGTAAATTTACCCATAGGCCTAGCTTTAATTAATACGGAATGGATATTAAATTGTTACTTTTCTTCATAAATTATAAAATAGATAAATAAATTGAAATAATTCCAATGCTTTAAGGATATCACATGCATTCCAATTTTTCTGGAAATATCAAACGGAAATTTAAAACAAAATTGAAAATTAATATATATTTTTTAAGTGCAGAAACATTATTTAATGTTCAAAAATGGTCATTTTTCTAAAATTTAATGTTTTATTTTTTTGTTTAGATAGTTGAAGTTTTATTAAGCAAAATAGACTAAGAATTAAAAGTATGATTTTATTTATTTCAGTTTTTAAAAGTGAAATTAATTTTATCGGACTTAATTCTTAGTCTACTCTACTACTTAAAACAAAATTTAAAAAGACATTGCATTTTTTAACATTGTTAAAAGAAAAACAAACTGTGTTTCTGATAACGTGGCATTTAAAAATTTATGACTCCTCACTTATTAGGATGGAAATAAATATTTAAAAAACTGATAAATTATGAATTAAAATTACAATGTATTTTTGGTTTCCTTTAAAATAAAACAAGGTACATAAACAATAAACAAGTTATCTTTCTTTTAAAATTGTAAAAGGCTTTTAAAGTTTTAGAAAAATAAAGAAATAACGTCTTTGTTTTTTTACATATCCCCAGTTTTATTTTAAAAAAAAGCACAGTTGTACTTTTATTTCATAATTTAACAGTGAGGAGTTATAAATACCATGTTAACAGAAACACTGAAAAACCTGGCATCATATGGGCATTAGATTCTGAGAAATGGATAAAAATATTAAAAATTGATGGGTGTACGAATGATTTTGTTGTTCACATACACACACACACACACACATATATATATAAACTTTAAGGGGTTAATGTGCATTGTAATATTGTATTCCTTCTGGGGAGGGGCAGCAAAAACACTAGCTATGCCACTGCTATTAAGACTGAATTTAGTTGAATGTAAATAAATCCCCTCTACAAAAAACAAAAAAAAATAGATATGTTGTTCTAGTTGGGAACTTATCACAATAAATAAAAAGAATTGTGAATAAAAGTTCTTATGTCATATTCTCCAAACATTAAATAATAATGTCTTGTTTTTCCCCAGCATAAAATACATTGGCTTGATGACAATGTTATTGATAATTCTACTCATTGCCAAGGATTATTGGTGGATGTTAGCTGACATACTCAAGTCTGATGTAAGACAACATTTTAGATAATTTTATCTATTTACACAAATAAAAAGTATATTATTACAATTTTGTTTTACTCATGTTTTGAATAAAGAGAATCTTTTGTATTATTCATTTTGAGTAATTCCTTTCAAGTGTAAAATCATGATTATGAAGCATGCAAAGAAAATCAATTATTGTCAATTTTATTATTTTTGCATCACTATTAGGGGATTAATTTCTTATATGTAAAGCCTTTTGTTACTATGATAGGAACAGGAAAATTAACAATGATTAAAAATAAAAGCTTTTTCGTTTAAAACATCTAATTCTTTCTCTTTTCTTGTTTTGCAGATAGAATATATTGAAAGCCATTCAATAAATTCATTTTATTTTTATTTTGCTTGTTTAGTTATGTCTGATTCAACACTTCTGTGCTAGAGTGCTGTGTTTAGTCCTCATCCCACTTTTCTTGTATGTTGGAATATTTTTCATTCATCTTTCTCTCCTCACAAAAGCTGGGCCCCATGACAATGTCATGACAAGTGCATTTCAAGCTAGCCTTGAGGTAAGAATTATTTACAATCTCCAAATTTTTGTGTACTTGTTTGCTTTTGTTTTAGGAACTGTCTATTAATCTGGCCCTTTTCCTTTCATGTTTTATTCATGCATATATATGTCAGATTATTTTCTGCAAGTTGATGTTTTTATAATAAAATTGATATTAACCAACTGATGACAAAATGTTTACAATATAAGTAATATATTATGTGAGTTTTAGCTTATAATATCTACTTTTATTAAAATTTTGATAAAAACTTGGAGTTTGTCAGGTTTTATTATGCAAACAAAGAACAAAATAAATATTAATTATAAATAAATCCAAAGAAAACAATAGAAATATTTGATTGATACAGTATCCAATATTCCTGAATAAATTATTAATTCATGTTAATATGTCTTCCTTGACATCCTATAACTTTCATCAGTTTTTCACTCATTGATTTTGTTCATTTTTCTTCTGTCTTAATTTTAACTTTAATTGCAGCAGTTTTTATTATTTCCTAAAGATCTTTGCTTGATTTTTTTTTTTTTTTTTTTTTTTCAATTTTATATACATTTCTTCCCTGTTGTCAGAAGAAGAATGTTTAATATTTTCATGAAGGACCTGTGATGTCCGCGAGTATAAATAGAACCCGCTCGGTTGAAGTGGGAACTCTTCAGTATACAGCAAACCTGGCGACGAGGACGTAACAATTTAACAAGCTTCGAATTAATGAAACACTACCCCCTCAACAGCAAAGAAAATTACTCAAATTCAACAACAATGCGAGTAACAAACTTTGAAAATAACAAATTATTTCGAAAGAAATGGCTCTCTCTATGCCAACAATAGAGCTCCTAGACTGGGAAGACTCCAACCAGGAGCAAGCATGGAGAGAATGGAGTGAACATATCGAAGACGCATTTAGAGCGTTTGATATAACAGATGATAAACGACAACTATCACTGTTTCGATTTTACGGGGGAAAGAAACTGAAAGATATTCTCAAAACCTTAACACCGGAGATACCACCAGGCCAAGTAGAGCCTACATACAAAACAACAAAAATAGCACTGGACGAATATTTCATCCAGAAAACAAATAAAGTCTTTGAAAGACATAAATTTAGGATGCTTAGTCAAGAAAACTGGGAGTCAACACATAACTATGTCACCCGTCTACGCATACAAGGAGCAAAATGCAACTTTGGCTAATACAACCTGGACAAGGCTATAGTGGACCAATTAATAGAAAAATGCTCGTGAAGCAAATTACGCCATGCGTATTTGAAAGAAACTGATTTAACAGTAGAGGAACCACTTCAAAGCATTCATATTTTAGTCCACTGAAACACAAGCTAAACAACTAGAAGAGAATGAAAGAGCACTCAGATATCCACAAAATTATAACCAATTACAAGCAACAACAACAACGAGATAACAGTGGGTATAGGAAACTATCCAGGGACAACGACCCATTAAAAACAGTTACAAAATGCTATGGGTGTAATGGCTCTGACCACATACACGGTCAAACAAAATGCCCAGCATTTGGGAAAAAATGTAACTACTGCAGAGTAATAAATCACTTTGAAAAAACATGCTTAAAAAAAAAAGGAACAGTGATAAAGGGAAAATGAAGATGTCAGACAGACACAATTACGTCCAACCAGTATTGATGAATCCGAATAATTCAGACAGACAAGCATTCGTTTTTCAGGTGAAACCTATTCATTCAGCAGATAGCGATATTGTCCATATTGACGACGTACCAGTTGGAATATTAATAGATTCTGGAGCAGACATCAACCTTATCGACGGCAAAAACGTTTAAAGAAATGCTTAAAGTATGGCCAAACTTAACATTAAAAGAAACAAATTGTAAACCAAAAGCCTATGGGAATATTCCAATAACACTAAGAGGAGAATTTTTATAGCAGCGCTTTCGAATGGTCCAAGAAGAAAAGCCCACAAAGTATTCGTTTAAAGGCATATCAAGGTGGTAACATATTAAGTAAGCGGGCCAGCATCGAACTAGGGTTTATCACCACCCTACAGGTGAAATCGATTACAACAAAAAGTATCCCGAAATCAACAAAAGAAATTCTAGATCGATACCTACCCTCAAAACCTGGAAGGATTAGGAAGAATGAAAAATTTCCAACTCAAAATTAGACTAGATGACAACGTTATACCTGTTGCACAACCGCCAAGACGGACACCATTTCATATCACTACCTTTTCATGCAAATCCAGAATCTACCAATATAAGGTACTGGTTATGGGCATTGCATCTGCAGCCGAAGAAGGGCAACGATTGCTTCAACAAATCCTTCAAAAAATCCCTAACTGCTGCAATGGGGCAGACGACATTCTAATCTGGGGCAAAGACACAAGAGAACATAACAGAACCCTAGATATGGTATTAGGCACAGTGAAAGAAAACAACCTCACAATTACAGAGCACAAAAGCATATTCCATAGTTGTTGAAACTTGAATAAAGCATGGAATAATAATAATACAACACAAAATGTACTTAAACAAAATGTATTGACACAAGAACGTGTACACAATATTTACAGATAGTTTGGTATATTCTTGGGAAGACCGTTCCTGTAGAATGGGTTGACATTAGTCGCAGTCGGGCAGAGTCTCTGGATTGGATCTCTTCTTCCTCCACCCGTCTTCCCGGTACCAACCATATTTATATGGTCGGTACTCCACTATGTAAATTAGGTGGATCGTACCACAACACCCCCCCTCCCAAGCCTTGGAATCCCTTTTGGATTTCAAATTGGCTTCCTCTATGGGTTGATGATTATGGCTATTTCTTTGTAGATCCATTTGCCTAATTTTAATATTTTTTCCGTTTTGGATTCACGTCCAATGGGTCCGTGAACTTCCGTTTCCTACCGGATCTTCTTGGTTCAGGAGTATTCTGTGGAGGTTCTACCTGAAACATATCTTACATTATATCAATGGGATCTTCATCCTCATCCGGTATACTCTCTTCATGCTCTATACCGTAATATTTTTTAAGTTGGTTCTGGTGCCTTTTATGAGTATTCTTCGGCCCTTTAATTATGTAAATCAGATCACCGATTCTCTTGTCCACTATGCCTTGCTCCCAGAACTCAACGTTGTTTTTGTAGCACTTGAAAAACACCTTCTCTCTGGGAGTGTATCTTTTTCTCGCTGTATACATGGTATTCTTTACTCTATTTTTTCCTGGCAAAAGCTTGTCAAACACTGACTTAACTTTCCTAGCGAACATTAGTTCAGCTGGTGCCATGTTTGAGTGTGTTCTCTGGTTTGGCGTGATTCTGTATACTTGTAAGAATTGCTGAAGCGCCTTTTCTGTTGGAACTCCTGAGGCTTTCTTCAGAGCTCGCTTTAAAGTATCGACAAATCTTTCTGCGAGTCCATTAGACCTCGGATGATACGGAGGCGTCGTTATGTGGTTAATTTGATATAACTCACAAAATTCCTTAAATTATTCAGAAGTGAATTGTGTACCATTGTCACTCACAATACACTCTGGCACATCGAACCGTGCAAATAGTTCATGCAAGAAAGTTGTTGTGGTATTGGACGTAGGCTTTTTACAGCGTAGTACTTCTGGCCATTTTGTAAAACTATCTACCACTATTAAGTAGTAAAAATCTTCTACTGGACCAGTGAAATCAATGTGTAATCTTGTCCACGGATGATCCGTCTTGGGCCATGGTTTGTGTACTATAGGTGGTGCCTTAACTGCTAACGCACACCCTTTACATCGATGAACCATGTTTTCGATATCCACATCCATTCCTTTCCAATACACAAAAGCTTCGCATTAAGCTTTTTGTTCTATTAATACCCGGTGACCCATATGAAAGTCCCAAGTATTCTTTTCTGCAACTTTTTTGTATTACTACTCTCTCACCATATAATAAAACTCCATCACCTATTGAAAAATCTCCTGCACTTTTTGGTCGTTTGCTACCATTTTGCCTTTTATTTCTAAATGAAATCATCGCTTTCAGCTTCTTTTTTTAATTTCCTTTAGAGTAACTGGTAGCTCTCTTACAATGTTGTTTACCATGCTTTTCACCTCATAATCTGCTCTGATATTTGCAATAATTGATTCTTGAATCTTTCTTCTTGACTCGGTACTAGTCTTGATAGACTATCCGCATGAATTATATTTTTGGATGATAGGTGCTTTATGTGAAAATCATAATTGAGAAGAATGGTTCCCCATCTTAACAGATGATTTGCTGTATAAACGGGTAACCCTTTCTTTGAACCAAAAATAGTGATCAGTGGTTTATGATCCGTTTCAAGCATAAAATGTCTGCCGTGAATGTACCTGTGAAATTTTTGTATGGCAAAAATGATACTCAGTGCCTCTTTTTCTATCTGAGAGTAACTTCTTTCTCCTGGGAGCAAAGTTCTCGAAGTGTTTGCAATTGGTTTTCTAGAACCATCTGGCATTATGTGTTGAATACACGCTCCTATCCCGTATGAACTAACGTCACTTGCCACTACAATATCCAGTTTTGGATTGTAATGGGTTAAAAAGAGGTCGGACGTAAGCATTTTCTTTATTTCATCAAAGGCTTTCTGACATTCTACCGTCCATTCCCATGCCTTGTCTTTTTTTAGCAGTTCATTCAACGGAGATCTTAAATTGTACATTCCTTTAATGAACGCTTGATAATAATTTGCAAGCCCTAGAAAACTCTGTAGCATCGCCACATTAGTGGGCGTCGGCATGTCTCTAATCGCAATGGACCTTTCCGGATCTGGACATCTGCCATTTTTGTTGATTATGTGCCCTAAATACTTAATTTCCTCCAAACCAAATTCGCACTTTGACTCTTTGACTTTTAATCCAAAGTCCTGAATCTTTTTAAATACTTGATTGAGCTGCTCTCGATGTTCATCGATGGTTTCGCTCCTTACTATGATGTCGTCTAAGTAAGCGCACGCAAAGTCTAAATCATTCAACATAACGTCCATAGCTTGTTGAAAAATGGCTG